CAAGTGAACAACTGAGCTGCCTCCCTCTAATATTTATAGTGCTCTTATTGAATTGAGGGCTGGGGAATATCCTATGAACTTCACCCAAGGGATGTCCCCTTTGTCTTTTCTTCCTGAAATACCAAGGTTCTTTGTTGTTGTTATTTACTGGCAAGTTGGTTCCAACTTATAACTTGTTCCTTGGAATCCTCTCAATTGTCGTTATGTTTGAGCCTATTGTTGCAGTCACTGTGTCTACCCATCTCCTAGAGGATCTTCCCCTTTTTTGCTCACCTTTCTCTTTAACAAGCATGATGCCCTTCTCCAAGGAATGGTCTCTCCTGATACTATGTCCAAAGTGAGTGAAATGAAATCTTCTCATCATTGCTTTCTGGTTGTACTGAGAAAACAATTATTTTTCACTGCCATTGAATTCTGAGTCCTACAGAGTAGAACTGCTCCTGTGGGTTTCTGAGACTGTGAATCTTTGGGAGTAGAAAGGCTCCTCTTTCCCCTGTGGAGTGCCTGGTGGTTTCAAATTGCTGACCTTGCAGATAGCAGCCCAACAGAGAACCCACTACACCACCAGGGCTCCAGACAGCTCTTTAAACCCTGGGGATTTCCTGAGTGATTGAAATATTTGTTATGCTAGCAGATGACTCCAGGTAGGGACTGGCCATGGTAAGGAAATCCCATTGTTTCCTTCAAATGTGGTTGGTTAACCTGATATTTCCCCCTCTGAAATCACTGAGATCAAGTTTTATATTTTGTTCCAGAAGCTTCTGCAATTGTCTGGGACACGATTGTAATTAGGTTTACTTGAGAGTCACACAATGCACTCAGCCAAAAATGCACTTTTATTCTATTTTCACACTTGGCCTCGGTGGTTCATGGTAGAATTCTTGCCTTCCACGTGGGAAACTCAAATTCAATTTCCAACCAATGCAGGTCATGCTTAGTCACCACCCATACATTAGTAAACGCTCATGTGCTGTCATGATGGTGTATAGATTTCACAAAAGTTTCCAGAATAAAAAGGACTAGGACAAAAGTCTTGGAATTTTGGTATCTATTTCTGGAAAATCTACCATTGACTACACTAGGGACCACAATGGTTTGATTCACAACTGTTCATGAAAATTGGGCAGGCGTGGAGTTGCATTTTGTTCAATTGTGTATGGGGTCTCCATGTTTTGGGGGCCAGCTTCACAACTGCTAACAATATTAATGGTCTAGAGAGAACTGAGATTAGGTAGGGTGGAGCTCCAACAGATAAAAGGGAACTCTCAGTAGCTGTCCACATCTAGGGAAGTTTAACTTCCTGATTCTCAAGGCCCTCAATCTTCATCTCCTTTCCAGAACAGGGAGCTCTCCTGTGATTAGTTTGAATGGTAGCTAGACCAGGGGAAAAGGAGGTAGTCTCCACTGCCTACGCTAAATGAAAATTAGCTGTCCATGCCACAATAAAGGGGTTGCACACTAATTAAACACCTGTGGGAAAATATAACCTGGGCCCACACACAATGCACACACCAGCAACATGATATCACCAGCCAATTCCCTCAACCACAACCCCCTACCCCACCCCCCAGAGCCCCCTTTCCTTCCCCGCCAACTGGCAGGCCTTGAGTTCTTCCCTTGTTCAGGTGTGCACTGCAAGAGGAGGGTAAGACTCCTCCTGTGTGTGGCAGCATGCGCTTGCATGCTCTCTTAGGGCCCCCTCTGGTTCCCTTGGGATTTCCTGCTCTTGGTTCCTGTTGTTGGAGCTGCAAGCTGCTTCTGGATCCTGTTCAGGGTTTCCTTCCTTGTATTTTTCTGGGCTCCCCTGAAATGGCCATTTTCAGTAGCAAACTTTCCCTTCAGCCCCCTCCATGTGGCCTTGCACACTTTCCAAGGATAGTGTGTACTTTCTGAGACTGTAGTACCTGAAATGGTGCTTTCCCTTATAAAAGTTACTTGAATTACAAAAGTGTTTTTAGCACGTGAATTCTTTCAGCACTGAGAAGCAAAAACCGAGATAAACCACCCCAGAAACCTAACAAGTTCATTTCGTAACTTCGATAGGTTACATTCACAAGGGGGAGATTGCTATTCTCAACAAGGTCACTGGGATCTGGGGATCCACTCTTCCATTCTTTTCTGCCATGGAACTAGAAGGGCAAGCTGAGGCAAGACATAGTGATACCAGTGGACTGGACCGTCTATTCTTTCTCTTTGCTTTTATTTGCCTACATGTTGTATCTTGTAGCAAGTATCTTTGATTCAATGCTAAGCAGATGTTCAGACTTGAAGTGAGAGACAATAAAGAACTTTTATTTGGCTTTGTGCCTAACTCTCTGGCACTGAAGCTTACAGGCCACTGGCTAAAAGTGTATTTTAATTTTTAATTGCTATGCTTCCTGATGTGAACATCTACCTTAGGACTCTCATAAAATAGAGTTATTATTGGCAGGAGAGGATTTGAGATTTTTGAAAACCATGGCTATTAGAATAACTGACTGTATTCACTTGGCACAGAAAGGTTTCCTACACACTGGGATTCCACATGCTATAACCGGGAAAGTCCCTAACGAAGTGGGATGAGTTGCTCACCTGAGATAAAGTGCTATTTCCTGTGCACTAACCACCACATGTATCTAACTCATCCTGACTGTGCAACCGTGGACAAGTTACCAATAACTCTCTTTGAATGTAGGTCCTCTCATCTGTAGGCGAGTTTGAATGACTATTAAATTAGCTACACTAAAATTTCTTAGCACAATTTCTTGGGTACATAGTCAATGTCCAGTGAATAGTTGTTTCTTTTCCTTTAGTTGCTTTCATTCTTATAGCAGTATATAAAAGGATATTGTGAGAAAAATTCAAAATAGGAGAAATTAAATTACTTTCGTGTGAAAACATTGAAGATCATTCCTGAGTCCACATTCCCCCTAAATCTTCCACCTTAACGTTAAGCAGCATAAAGATTAAGCAATAGTGTAATGAAAATCTAAACCAGGAGCCATATATGCAAATGACTTCAGGGACAAAGGAGGTAACTTCAGTGAATGAGGTGAGATGAATGGGACTAGTCTTTATAAATAGAGCAGCAATTAAACTCTGACAGATGTGACCATGTGGGGAGGAATCAGCTGTGCCATGTGTAAGATATTTTTTGATGTGAAATACACAGATTTGAGTATATTGTCATCAAATCTCAAATTTCTGCATCCAAAATTGTTCCATGGGTATTCAGTGTTCTTAGGGGCAAGAGCATGAAATTGCTGTCATAATAAATAACCAAACACAGTGGATTCTCCTCTGATGGGATAACTAAGATAAAAGGGGACCAAAGTAATTTAAGGATGACATTTTTTAAATAACAAGAAGCTGCTAAATTTTGCATCTGGGTCATCATTTACATCTAACCATTCAAGACTAAACCTGTTGGGTTGAAAAATTAAGAAGGTAGAGTCTGCTAGCAAAGCTCCGTGAAATGCTTACAAGCATAAACTAACTGACAGGCTTCAGCACAATTTCACTATTACTCATCACAAGCCTGCCAAAAAAGGGTAGTGTTTTAAACAAGAACATCTGCGGCACACAAAACTACCCTCTGCTTAGTTAAGCCCAGAGAGGAAATCGACTCTGAAAGTTGCTGAAGGAGAAGATAATGCAACAGCAGAGTTTAATATTAAGTGGTTGATAGACTCTCACCGTCAATGAACCGGTTACTGCTTGATATCACAAGTTTGACTTCTAGCAAGGAAGATTGTTCAGGACTTATTTGGGTTCATCCTACTCAAGGAAGCATGCAGTATTTATAAATGGACATACTTCTGTCATGTACGGAGGATACTGGACAATTACGATACACTGCCATCAAGTGGAAATATAAGCTTTCCGAGACTGTGGACCTTCATGGAAGCAGATAGCTTCCTGTTTCTTCTGCAGCTGATCAAGTTATAACAATATCATGAAATAATGGAGAAACTCCATCACAGATTATATCCCCATCCATGACAGAATTCATATTCAATTTATAAATTACAGTGTTCACAACATTTACCGAACAAGAAGCAGAACCCATTGTAGTAGTTTCTGGAGCTTTCTCAAATAATGCAAAATAGCTTTCCAAATGAAAGATGCTTTGGAGGACCATCGCAGCTAGGCAGAGTCCTAAGGCGTGGAATCCTCTGTTTCCAGCGGCACAGCCATTCCTCATTGAGCAGCATGATTGTGCCACACGGCAGAGGAGGTGTGTGATCTACCACAGGTTCCTCTGGGTCTTGACCGTCTGGGGAAGCAGCTACAAAAAGAGAAATTCTGTGTGAGCTACTGTTGAAAATGGCGGTTAAGGTTTTGCATTCAAGATTTATGATTAGTTTTTATTTTATTTTGTTTTTTAGTCAGCAGACCCCAACACCATAGCCGTAGAGCGATTAGATAACGTTTTCTTTTTTGCTTTTGGCTTTCATTTTCTTCTTGTTAAAAACAGTTCAAATCTTTCTCGTGTGACTACCAATTATATAAATCCAGCCAGAGAATCATATACCAACTTCCTTTTTCGCTTCTTGAAGAAGCGACATAGGAAGAAGCAAATGCTATGCAATCATTTTAGGACAAACCCGAGTTCTTACTCCCTGTCTCATCAGCAATCTTTGGGTGGAAAAGAAAGACCTTTCATGGGTGGTAAGATTATGATTTGGAAATTAACTTTTTGAATTTAGAAAGTGTTGCTGTAGTAAGGTGATCTTTTTCACTATTAAGTTGCAATTCACCAGTTCTGTGGTTTTAAGACTTGTTTGAAACCTATGATTATGACACAATACGTACTTTTCTCAGCAACATGAAAGATATATTCAGGGACTGAATCATTTAAGGACGGCCAGAGTCGGGATGAAAGCACAGCCTGAAGTTTGAAAAGAGACGGGGCTGCTTTAAGAGAAACAGGAAGTTGTAACTAGAAGCCATCTGAATACTAAGCCTAGGCAGATGCTGGTGAAGTAGCAACCTTAAGTGGCAGTGTTTTTTCGTTTTAATTCTCAGGCAGCTGGACTGTCCTAGGCAAACCTCCACAGTCCTTATCCGGGTTTTTAATCCAAGGAATCTTAAAACTGGAGAATGGAACGACAGAGAAGGTTCCCGTCAGGGAAGGACAAGGATCAGTCTCAACATCAGGGAGCAGTGGAGCTGCTTGTCTTTAATTTTTTGCTCATTCTTACCATTCTGACAATCTGGCTATTTAAAAATCATCGTTTTCGTTTCTTGCATGAAACTGGAGGAGCAATGTTGTATGGTGAGTGCACAAATTGTGGGAAGGATGTGTAACTTGTTGCGGGGGCATACTTAGAGACTTGTGTTCAGATGGCAAATTACCTACCAAACTGGGGGAAATGTGCTGATTGAAATGTCCTTACCTTGATGAAAGTTGCTGCAGCGTAATGCCTGCTCATCCCTATCCAGACAAGCTGCCGAAATTTGCCTTGTCACAAGAGTAAATGTCACAGTCATGTTCTCAGGAGGCACATAATCCAAGTCTGTTGACAGACGCAGGACCATTGTCATGTGGGGAGTCAAACTGGGAGAACTGTTTGTTTTTACCATGATATTGTGAAGTGATGGCTAAGTGTCCACCAGGAGCAGTCTTTTTTCCTGGAGAGTAGGGGGTGGGTTAGCACCTACAAATTAAAACCTCAGAAGTCTTTTATAGACATCCTGCAGCCTGATTTTGTATGGCCCAGAGTGATTCAAAACCTGAATGAACTCGCATCAAGACATCTACAATCATTCTTTCATTGTCTGTGACAGGACTTCTTTCACCTTCCTCAACCTCGGAGGGAAAAGCCAGAGAGTTGTACATGAAAAGATAATTACTTTTCAAACTAAAAAAAAAAAGAACATCACTTAAAAAATATATGAAGTAAATTCTCTCATATTTCATAGTCTCAAGGAGAAAACTCTTGCAAAAACACACGGCATCCCACACACTAGAATGACTATGTCCATATCCATTTTAACTATATAAGTGATACCTTATTTTCTTATAATGATCCATGAGTTTCTTTCTGTAGTGTTTTTCATGCATTAGCCTGCTTGTAGGCTTTTAAATGTATTATTATTACCATTATTATTATTATTATTTGGTATGTATTTTATTTTTATTGGGGGAGGCTTAGGTGTGGAAAAACATCTAAGGTAATAAACTTTAAAATGTTACTCTTTCTTTTAAATTTATCGTGTCATTTAAAAAGAAAGTTAAATGCAGTATGACAGCTTTTACCCAGTCTACATTCTCATCTTTCAAAGTGAAATGCCAGACACCAGCCACTGTCAAATTCATGCTAGTGGTGAAGCAGGGGGCTTCACCACTGTTCCTTCAGTCTGATAATGGATAATAACTTTTGGACATGATGGAAAGAGATTAGGCCTTGTTGTAATTCACATGAAGAGTAGACAGCCATGTGTATATTTGGGCTTGCTTGGTTCTGAAAGCCCTTCAATATCCCTGGGGTTCAGGGAACAGGATCAGTGCACATTTTCCCTATTAGCCTGATGCTCAGGACTTACAGTGCTGAATTGAGGTTAAGAAATCCTAAACCTTAGATGGATCCCAATGTGAGATACTTGAGCCTTAAGGTGGAGATTTCATGCTGGACAGCATCTTTATTTTCATCAGAAGGATGTATGGATCCCTTCAGAAGAGAGTGCAGTTCCTTTGTAAGGAAGGTGACAAAGCACATAGCAAAACTGTCATTTCAAGCAACAAGATAATATTAATAATAATCAATTGACAAGTCCTCAAACAGAAAGGAAGTGTTGCTCTCAGCTGCAGAGCCTGAGGGTCCAGTCTCTCTCCTCCTTCTCTATCTTTCCCTTGGCTTTGCTAATAAATAAATAACAAGGATAAGGATGTAACCTGAGGACCAAAAAAACAATGTAACCCTTGGCATTAAATTAAAGGGCTATGTATACGCTTTGGCAACACTGCATAGTTTTAGAAAATTGCAGCCTGCATTGGAGGGTATTTTTCTTTACAACTCCAAATGTGATTAAACCATGAATCATTTATCAATTTCAATTGAGTTGTGATAAGGATATTATTTTATGAAGTTAGGTTAAATTTTGGTGGCCTATTAATGCAAGCAGATTTTACATAAGAACACAGAAATTTAACTTTTGCTTTTGAATTTTAAGAAAATGGAGATGATCTTTACTCCTCAAAAACACCATGAAAGATTTCTTAATTGTTATTGGAATCATAAAATATTAGTCCACCATCCACTTCTACTAGCACAACATTTTTCTCAATTGCTCTTCTGGCAATTTAAGCAAAGTGTGGAATGTAGTTGGGCTTTCTGCTTTTTGTCCCCCTTTCATGACTTTTTTTTTTAATGTGAAAGTTTGTTTTTTTTTAAACCTTTTATTGGAAGCTCTTATTATTATTATAATCCATAGTTCCATTAGAGCAAGCATAATTGTATAATTGCTGCCCTCATCATGTTCTTCTTCTTTTGAATCCTTTCATTGGGGGCTCTTACAACTCTTGTCACAATCCATACATCTATTCATTGTGTCAAGCACATTTGTGCATATGTTGCTATGATCATTTTCAAAATACTTTCTACTTGAGCTCTTAGTATCTTATCAGCTCATTCCCCTCCCCACCCCATGAACCCTTGATAATTTAGAAAAACTTTCTTTTCATGCCTTAGACCGAGCACAGTTCCCTTCATCCACTTTTCTGTTGTTCATCCCCCTGGGAGGGAGTTACATGTCGATCATTTTGATCAGTTCCACCTTCCCCCCCCCTCCCCCCAACCTTACCCTTACCCTCCTGGTATTGCTATTCTCATTATTGGTCCTGAAGTGTTTATCTGTCCTTTGTTCCCTGTGTTGTGAGCTCTGATCTGTGCCAGTGTACATGCTCTGGTCTAGCTGGATTCATAAGGTAGACTTGGGGCATGTGAATGGGGGATGGTGGGGGGAGGAGAAGGAAGCATTAAAGAACTAGAGCAACATTGTATGTTTCCTCAGTTCTATACTGCACCCTGACTGGCTCATCTCTTCCTTGTGATCCTTCTGTAAAGGGATGTCCAATTGTCTACAGATGGGCTTTAGGTCTCCATTCAGCTCTACCCCTCGTTCACATTGATGTGATTTTCCCCCCCATCAACACCTCATGATCACACAGGCCAGTGTGCTTCTTCCATGTGAGCTTGATGACCGCTTGTTTATCTTCAAGCCTTTAAGACCCCTGATGATATATCTTTTGATAGCTAGGCACCATCTGCTCTCTTCACCACATTTGCTCATGGACCCATTTTGTCTTCAGCGATCCTGTTGGGAAGATGAGTATCATACATTAGCCACATTATTAGAACAAACCATTCTTGTACTGAGGTAGGATTTAGGTAGAGACCCATGGTCAGCCTGCTTCCTTATTGTATTACTTATATATACATACATAGATAAGTACCCCTATATTTATATCTTTGGAGATATACTTATCTAGATTTATGCCTATATATATGATTTTTACTCCCCAGTTGTTTTCTCTATTTCTTTTTTCTTTACTCCTGCCCCACTATCATGTTCACCAATTGTTGAAAGAAAGTTCTGAAACAATATACAATGCAAAAACAAACACCAAAACCACTGCCATTGAGTCGATTCCAACGCAAAGAGATTACAGAAATTACAAAGATATGCACATACAAGCAGAAGTGCCATTGCTATGATTTTGAGCACTCTTGAACTCAAGAGTTGAATGAAAAATATTCATTCTTTAGTGTTATTTAATTTTTCATTGGCATACCATGCTAGTTGTTGCCATTTAAGTGGAACAATTCCCGTGTCCTCCTTTACGGTAACAGAGAGAGAAGCGGAATCCCAGACAAGGGAAGAGACTTTCCTCAATTGAATGGAGGGCAGAGTTGAGGTGCTTTCACTCATCCTTATCACTTAATAAAGTTCAGGTCTGTCTTAAAAGAACGTTCATTACATGGATGAAGCTGGAGGACATTATACAGAGTGAAATTAGTCAGTCACAAGAGACCAAGTATTGTAGGAGACCCAAATTAAAAACGTTCATAAAAGGTTTTCACACTAACAGAGAGGTTTTGCTAGTCACCAGGGAGTGAGAGGGCAAGGAAAGATAAATAATGAATAAAATAAAATATAAAGAAATCTCTCACTGATAATGCTTTAAAAATAGTCCATATGGATGATGTTAGTGATTCTTCACATTTCTTTTTCAGTGATGATCTAAGTATGATATTTAAAATATTTGGGGTACTGTCAGTGTTGTAATAAAATAGAAACTACAACAAGGGAACACAAGAAACATTTTAATGATAAGGGGGGAAAGGGATGTCAAGTGAATGAATTTACCAGCAGCTATAAATGAAGCTTGAATTCAAAAATTAGGAAGTAGCATTGGAATTCATAAGTCCAACATTCTCACTTTGAAGAAGAAAAAGCAATGATGTAGAGAGGAAAATATCATGTAATCGTAATGGTGCAGCAAGGATTCAACCTGGATCTCTTTATTGAGAGAACTAGAAGATACTTAAAAATAAATAAAATTTACAGTACACTTTCTGAAAATAAGATGCATCTGTTTGTTCCAAAAGTATTCTCAGACTCTTTATGCTTTCAGGATGAATCAGATTCTCCTTTCCAAAAAAAGCCAAAAGTGGTGACATTTCAGTGCATTCCATGAGTCAGACGAACCAATGGTTCTTGCTAGAGCTCTGCCAGATATATGGTGATAATGGGGAAGACAAGAAACAAAATGTTATTTACTATTTAAACACCAATTTTTTTAAAAAAAGATTTGATTATTTGGGAATAAGATGTAACTCAATTATCCCCATCCTACAGACACATATGCTCATAACGAAACACTTGGGCTTTAGTAATCTCACATGTAATGCTATTGAGAATTCTGGTCAATACTTCATAGGTCGGACTGAATATTGCTCTTGCTTTCAGTGATCATGTGATGTACCTATATAAGGACCCATACATTTTTCTGAAGCATCAACTTTTCCATAATGCTTCTACCCAATATTACCTTTGTCATATTACTATTTTTCCTTTGGCACTTGTCAAATTGCTCTTTGGAAGATGCAAGAGATGTTGATTCATTTTTTTCATACATCTGGAAATCTAAATAAAAAACATTCTAGGGAGAAATGACTCATAAAATGACCCATAGGAATAAAATGGGGGAGGAAAATAATCATATAGGGTATTTGATCTCTTTTATAGTTATGTTTATTAAATTATGTATAT